AAATATATATAACTTTTATCAGATAATTATTTTCTTTATATCTTTATTGTTCTTTCTGTAGAAACTGTCATTTGAAAATCACCAATTATTCTTCAGGTGTCAATTGCAGTGACTGTTTCTCAATCCTCATAGAATTCATTTTTATCTACTTAGTAAATCTTGTTTGTTTTGATTTTCCTTTGTCCTGGTTGTTAGTAACTCTGTGCAAATATTAATTTATTTCTTAAATCTTTTTTGGCACTTTTTTTTCTTTTTCTATATGTTATTCCAGAAATGTACATTTCATCCAGATCATGCCTTTGAATACTGAACCCAACCACTGCCTACCATCCAATCAATTCAAACTCACAATTGACTCAGTAGAACAGATTATAATGCTCTTTTTTTTTTTTTTTTTTTTTTGGTAAAAACTGTAGATCTTTATGGAAACCAACAGACTCATCTTTCTCTCATGGAGTTGTTGTTCTTGTTAAGTGCCGTAGAGTCGGTTCTGACCCATAGTGACCCGATATAGGGTTTCTGAGGAGCAGCTGGTGAGTTTGAACCCACAATTAGTCCAGTAAAGAAGGTAGGCATATTTTCTAGACAATGATGTACTCACAACCAACCATCCTAATAAGAGGAAGACAAATGAATAACCCAGTCAAGTTCTTTTCCTAAAAACCTCAACCTGGGAAGGAAGAAAGGGTTTGCCATATCTTCTAATGACACCAAAATAAACCAAATTTCCTAGATTTAAAAAATTTGATTGTGTTAAGTCCTTTTCTTAATTGTCCTCCTAGCCAATCAATTATTAAATAATCCTCATTTTAATCAGTAGCTTTTGTAGGGATCCCCTCATCTTTAAATTGCCCATTCCTTAAAGCTTGCTTGGATCAATGCAAAGCTTTATAAATTGTCTACTGCTTCAATTTGAAACACTCTTCAGTACATCCTATGTTTGTAGATCACACTGAATTTTAAGGAAGATCATAAATACATTTTCCATTTAGAAAGGTAAAGAAAAACTACCTTAAAATCATCATAAAATGTCTTTCTATAAAATGATTTTCATGGGAAAAAACAGGCAATTTGCTCCCAAAGATTATAACCAAGGAAACATAGTTATTCAGACATTACATAAGAATTAAAAGATATCGTTGAGTGCTCAGCAATTTCAATTAATAAATATATATTTATACAGAATCCTGGAATCCTGGTGTGGCGCTGTGGGTTAATGCGCCAGACTGCAAAGCCGTTTGAACTGCAAGGTAGGTGGTTCAAGCTCACCAGCTGCTCCTTGGAAACACTATACAGGGTTACTATGGGTCAGAATCGACTCGACGGCACTTAACAACAAATATATATATATGGAGAATCAGTATTTCAATTTTAAAAATTTATTTA